TTCGTACTTTGGCATGCAAGGTGGCTGGTGAAGTTTACCGAGATTTCTTCGCGAGTAGGGACTAGTTCCCCTTAAAAGACTTTCCATATCTTAAAAGGCATTTCCTCTTTTGTCGATCTTGTTGAATGCCAGGACCTAAGGTGTGTTTCAAATTTATACGGACACGAAAAAATTAAAGTAAAACCCAAATTTGCTGCATTAAATGACAAATGTTTTATTAAAAATAACATGGATTTACATGTTTCCACAATGCAAAATAAGAATTTTAATCAAACGTTAACATTTTGTCACTGAAAATAATATTTTTCAACATTTTGTACAAAAAACTGTTACATATTTATTTGGACAGGCACTCATTTCATGATCTAAATAGAATATTGTTTAGTTTCAAGCATTGAAATATGCAAATAAGCTTACATATGTTATTGTAATACAAATTCTTTACGTTGTTCAACGTTCTAAAGTGGGTAGAACAAAGAATTTATCTGATTATAAAAAAAGGGCAGACTGATGCCTATAAATCACACGGCAAGTCAATAAGAGAAATTGCAGCATATATAAATCATCCAAAATCAACTGTTGGTGATTATTTATCAAAAAGACGTGGCGAGGGTGTACCAAAATTCAAGATAGGTCCAAAACCCAAGCTCATACCTCGAGATTGAAGACAAATCATTAAGATTTGCTCCACAAAACAAACATCAGTAAGAAAAATAAAACAAGAATTAGACTTACCTTGTAGCACTATAACAGTGTGGAAGGTTTTAAATAAATCTCCAACGTTAAAATTCTGGTAAAAAGCTATAATGCCACCACTATTATTGAAGCACAAAAATGACCGACTTCATTGGGCACAAAAACACATGACATAGTCCAAAGAATGGATTGAAGTTTTGTTCAGTGATGAAAAACAATTTATCTTAGATATTCCAGACGGTTGAAAGTATTATTGGCACGATTTAAGAACCGAAAAACAAATATTTTCAAAACGCCAAATGGGTGGAAATCAATAATAGTGCGGGGTGCGTTTGAATTCAATGGAACCAAAGATATAGCAATTATAACTCAAAGAATGAATTCAGAGAAGTATCATACTTGAATATCATTTATTGGAATATCATCATTAAGAAGGCATACTTGAATATCATTTATTGGAAGGTGGACCAAATATTTGTGGACCAAATTGGATTTGTCAACAAGACAATGCCCCTATGCATGCCTTTAAATCAACAAAAATGTGGTTTAAGCGTAAAAATATTATCTGATGACATGGCCTGCTAGAAGCCATGACCTGAATCTGAATCTTTGGGGGATGATGGTACGTACAGTTTATGCCAATGGAAAGCAGTTTTCTACAATTCATTATTCGAAGGCAGCAATTTCAGATACTTGGGATAAACTTAAGATCGAATTCCTTCAGAATCTAATTGAAACAATACCTAATCAAGTATTTAATGTAATTAAGTTGAATGGTGATTACACTGGCCATTAAAATGTATGAAAACTTTGCAATTTGAAACCTGTTCGGATAAATATGTAACAGTTTTTTTTGTACAAAATTTTCAAAAATATTTTTTCAGTGACAAAATGTTGATGTTTGATTTTAAAATTCTTATTTTGCAGTGTGGAAACATGTAAATCTATGTTACTTTTAATAAAACATTTGTCATTTAATGCAGCAAATTTGGGTTTCACTTTAATTTTTTCGTGTCCGTATAAATTTAAAACACACCTTAATATCAATTAATACACATTACAAAATTATTTAGTTTTTTTGTATTTCATACGCTACTTAATTTAAATTTCTTTCGCATAGCATAACAGCTTCTCAACACACAATAAAGTGTAAAGATTGAGTTATCTTTTTACAAGTGAAAAGCCAATCAAGTAAGTCAGAATGTTTCTTACATTTTCGTTGGTATATAGACGAAATATATTGAGCCGGAAGTGTGTTATATAGTAAGTACAATTGTCTACGCGACGTAAATACATTCGTTTCACTTATACAATCTGTTCTTTGAATATATAGAGTACGTCATACTATTAAAAGTTCGGTATAAGGCGCTAGATAACCCAGGTATGCTCATCCGCCATGTTGGTCCTTAGAAAGCAGACGACTCTCGTAAAAGTTCAATAGAAGAGACACGAAAATAATCATAAATTCAACTGTATCTTAAGATTTTGCAAGGTCGAAATGATAAACTTTGCCAAAATTTAGTGCAACTAGTTATAAAATACAGCTAAATTTAAAAATCTTGGAATATGACGTCAAAAGGACCAATATGGCTGCACACGTGACGGAAGCGTATGAGCATACCTGGGTAATCTAGCGCCTTAC